TTTTCACTGATGGCTAGCGCGCGCACACACACACACACACACACACTGGGTTCAGATGCTGGTCGGTATTTTGTTGCCATGTTTGGGTCATTTACTGTCCGACCGTACACATTTTTTATGCATACCTACAAAGAAGAGAAAAGCGTGTATACACACACATACATATATGCTTAAAGACTTCTTGTCCTCCTTGGGTCCTTGGATAGGGTATACTTGTAGATTTGCCCACTCATACGCTGTGTTGATCTCTTGCAAATGATATGATGAAAGTAATTTACGGGGATGTGTGCGACACAAACACATGCACATACACCTATATGCCCTCACATGCCGTTACTCACACTTTCACGCATTCATTCACTTTTCATTGACTTTGCCTGCGGCATGCGCTGCGACAAAGGAAAACGACAAAGGAGACACGAAAAAATTCTTATAAAACACATGCATATACACACTTGCCTTTACGTTGACATTACTTGTGTCCTTCATCTCCTTTTGTGTCCTCACTCACTTTCCTTTAACATACTTACCTTCACATTCACTCTCTGTCTCTTCACTGCCTTTTTATATGTTCGTGTGTACATGTGTGTGTTTGCGTTTTGTTAAAATCACTTGTTTTGCCTTTGTTTAAATTTAATTTTAAAGTCAAATGCTTTTAAGCATGTAAAAGTCATAAAAGGTTCTATGAATGAAGGTCAGCGTGAAAGGGTATTTTGCCGTTCTTAGTTCGACACAATAAAGCCGGCTTTGTTGTTGTCTTTTCCAGTACACCATATCATTTGTGTGAATGAAATCGCTTGTAATAATATTTTTGTTGTTGACATTAGCACAATATTTGTTTTGTTGTTGTTGGCTTCGCAGTGAATCAGTGGCGAGTTTTATGGTTACGAAATGGCGCTGTGATTGTGGAACTAGTTACACACAATAAATGTACGTAAATAGAGTGAAAAGTAATGAATTTAGAGGAGCAAACTGAATAACGGTATTAACTGGTTTTGTACTCAGACATGTAAATAAGAAAAAAAGGTATAAAACTCTTCACTAAGAAAAAAGATTTCCATTCAGGGACCTGATTTTGTTCGGTCAGTTTCTATGGCAGCTAAGTATATGCTATAGTCGTCTGATATCGGCTGTTCCGACAAATGAGCACCTTTTTGGGGGAAAAAGACGTGTGCAAAATTTTAGATCGAAATCTCAAAAGCTGAGGTTACATAGCTAAATCGACAGTCACATTTAGACTGCTAAGTATGTACAGTCCTTTGTGAAAACATATAAAAACTATAGTAGTTGGATAGTACCTTTCGTCAATCTGTATTATATTTCCGCTACTTTACCTGGATACCCAATAGTATGAGATCCGAGACATTTTAGCCAGGATCTGGCAAAGGCGGGATAATATATTAGATAGCAGCTAAGGCAACTGTCATCCGGTAAAGTTTTCAATCTTATCACGTGAAATAAAATCGCACAATTGCCAAACTACAACTGTTGAAAGGTGAAAGCAACAACAATACAAAATATATATGTATATGAAATGCTTCTGCTTAAATTGGTTAATCTTCTTGCCTCAAAGGAAGTTAATTTAAGCGGATTTAAAGTGCCACATTAGATCAACGCAAACAAATTCCCGAAACTGTAACTGGAGACTACAAGCAAGTAATAATGTCCGACGCATGTACAGTTAAGTGTCCAAGGACAAAAAACTTATGGAGAGAGAAAATCACTTACATGAGCCAAAATCCACAGGCTTGTTCTGCGTGTGTGTCCATATGTTGCTCTAATTATACGCTTGCAGTAGCTCAAATATGAGTGTATGTATTTGTGTGTATATATGTTTCGGAATATGTGTGTGTGTGTATGCGTTTGGCATGAAATTATTTACAAAGTAATTACCATTAATGCCACAAATGGCCAAGTTGCCAAAGCGTATTGCTTGAGTGCTTATGGTTGGCAGTTGTTGTTCATGGAAATCACACACAATTTAGACTTTCCGATGTGGATACAAATACAAAAAACAAATGCCAACAAACAAGCAACCAAATTGGTGCAATCATCGACTATGCAACAACGACGCCAGCTGATGATAAACATATACATATACAAGTATATACGTATTTATGTTTTCCTGTATCACGCATTATATGCATTTACGTATAACGGTGAAAATGAGGAGAGAAGTAAACTTGCCGGCCAGTCAGTAGTTGGAGCGGCAAAAGCGCAGGATAATTACTTTCAAAATTGTGATCAATCACAAAATTTAATGGCGTTGACTGCGTTTCCACAGTCGCACCGTTCGTCGGGGGTGGATGTAATGAAGCGTACGGGCATCCGCGCTGAACAGTAGGGGGGCAAAGTTATTGAATTTCCTGTCGCATTTGGCGCGGGAAGGAAATAAATGCATTGCAAAATCACTTTGTGCGGTACAGTTGGTTGGCATGTGGTGTACAGCAGCTCGTGTGGTATTATCACCGAGAGAGGGGGTGTACCGGAAAGGTCATAAATCCTTTGTCTATATATTTTTAATAGCAACAAATTATAGATATTTATTTCAATATTTTTCCGGAAATTAAATGTTATTGTTGTTGGTTTATATGGAAAAATTGTCTTTATGTTGATTTTGATCGGTCAGTTTGCATGGCTGCTATATGCTATAGTGGTCCGATATCGGCGGTTCCGGCAAATGAACAGTTTTTTGGAGAGAAAAGTACATGTGCAAAATTTCGGATCGATATCTCAAAAAATGAGGGACTAGTTTGCGCATGGAAAGATGGACATGGCTAAAACGACGTGGTAACTTGAAATGGGGTCTCGAAAAACGGCTTCCCGAAAAAAATTACTGCATTCCGGAGTCTACTGATGGTGGCTTTTTCTCTGCTCATACACCAAGGAGAGATATGTGAAATGGGGCGAATTCGTTGGAGAAAAGGAGCTGTGAGATTTTTTACGGATGGGTCGAAATATACCGGGAAGGTTGCTGCAGAAGTTTTCTGTAAGAATCTCTCCGCCAAGCAAAGTTAGACAAGGAATGCCCTTACTATCGATAGCATCAAGCAACTTCATTATCAGAATCGTTGGTGTGCCTGATCATATCGGAATTGCTGCAAACTGCAAAGTTGATAAGCTTGCAAGAGAAGATATCCTTGTGTCCATTATATCGGATTGGGAAAGAGCAGGGTTTCCGTTGTTCCTTGTGTTTTAGCACTGGACCTCTTGACTTTGCGTGAGCTTAGCTGGCGCTGGTCAACAACAAGCTGCTGTGCGACTGTAAGATTCTACTGGCCTACAGCAGAATGTAGGAGGTTCATTGATTTACTTGCTCTTAGCAAGATTCATCTCGCTGCAATCGTAGCGGTTTTCACTGGACATTGTCCAATATTCGTACAGGCGGAAAGGTTGAAAATCTTATGGGATGCTAATTGTAAAAGTTGAATTAAGAAAGGTGATTTGGAAACATCCAGACATTTTCTCCTCCATTGCTCACCTTTTGTAAGGCTGAGGTTGAAACATATCGGCAGTCATATCTTCAGCGGACCTGATGAAATAGCCGAAATTAACATTAGTCGCCTCAAGAAATTTGTGGCAGGCTCTAAGCGCCTTAACAATTTTTCAGCGGTTTTTTTCGATCAATACATAGGAGTGTTTAGGTATCACAATGCGCCTGGGTTCTCAGCTATCCAAGTGGAATCCATTTTGGATCGATAATTTAGCCTAACCTAGTCCATTCTTTAGCGAGTTTAGTTGCATGTCTACCTCAAAGATGTGCTTCGACTCTGGCGCTATTAAACTAAGTGGATCTGTACTGAAATTAGGAGTCTGTATTATTATCTAACATTATGTCTGGTTGATGCTGAAGATTTTTAACATCATTTCTATTTAGATACTTAAGCAAACCTCAAGATGAATTTCTCACAAATTATTGTTAAATAAAATAATTTAATTATGTGTTTATATGTATATATTAATATAAGTAAATGTGTATATAAGTGTATGTATTTTCTTCGAACAACATATAGCGCGCTTTGTGGGCTCATTAATCCTTTTATATTCGACACACTCCATTTTGTATTAAACACAAATTATGGGTAGTTGCAAAGCATTAACATAGGAGTGCAACGGTGTGATTGAATACCCGTAAATTGCAGACAGCTGAGCGCTGGCTAGCTACACACATGCAGTCTAATGTTTTTAAGCACATAAATACATGGTACTTATTTTAATATATATGTATATAAATTATGTACGTTACGTTTATGTCTCTGCATGTATATATATTTATATCTTCATATATATATATATATATATATATGTTTGTTTCTAGATATCCACATATAATATATTTAATCACATTGCTTGTTGCCATGCCTGAGCTACTACTGCTATTTTGCCATGATTAGTCTGATTATTTGTAGCTTTTAGTTGTTATAATTACAACTCAATGAGCCACAATAATAGCAGCAACTACAATCATAGTATTTTAATTATATATATGCGGTTGCGTTTTAGAGTGTGCCAAAAAACCTGATTATGATTTGTTTCTTTTAAAACTTTTTAAATATACAATTTTGAATTAAAAAAAATATCTGCATTTTTTTTAGGAAATTTTATGCTCTACACGAGTGGAAAAAAATTTTACCCTCAACGATTCAAAAATTATGGCATTTTCAACGAAAAAAGATTTTTTATGTGGTACGTGGGTTGCCGTACATTTGGCGGGATTTGGCAACCCTAGTGTTGCAATCTGGTATCTCATAATTTCATCATAAAGCTAGACACTTTTTTGATGTTATACATATTCAGAACGTTTTGGAGATATAAACGAATCTGTAAGAATTTTTTACCTTGATGTATTCGGCTGCCAAAACTTTAGACGCGTTTTTCTCAAAACGCTGTTTTCAGAGTCGGTAAGGAAATTTTCTCTGAAACCTCTGAACCGATCGGTTTGAAATTTTCACACGTCATTTTTAAATATATTATTCAGATAATGATCGCACGAATAGTACTTTTGACAATAATTTCCATTTTTTTAATTCACTTTGAATTGTAAATTTTCACACAATAAATTAATTTTTTTTATTTGTGAAGCCGCCATTTTCTCAAAAATCCAAACTTTCACTATTCCTTCGATCATTACCTGTATTCATCTATCGTTATACTAAATTTCATTGGTTTTTGGTTTCAGATAATTTGACGCCGAAATATCTTCCTAAAGCTCAATCAAGGATCAGTGGTTATCGATTGTATGGTGAATTCAATCGAGGTCGTAGATTACTCCAAGGCGAATTTCGTAAAGGTCGTCCAAAATCAGTTGTTGTCCCCGAAACGATTGATACTGTGCGCAAACTGTTAGTGCAAGATCATCATGTGACCTATCGTAAGATTGAAACAACTATAAAATTTATTAGGAGCGGTCGAGAGAAATTTTAAAAAATGTTTTTTATTGGAAAAACTGCAAACATACCAATAGAACAATGCTGTACACTAGAACAATGCTGTACAGTAAATTCTGGGTGGTAGATTACTATTTGTTTGCCAGTTGTATTTCAAGATATCAGGTAAACCAACTCCCGAAAACGGATCACTCTTCACCATGACAATGCGAGCATTCACACATCGACTGAAAGAACTGCATTTTTAGTTAGTTTATATTATAGTTCTGACTTGATAGTGAATTACTTATTTTTATTCCCATACGTAAACAATAAACTAAGAAGTCAACTATTTTTGACACCTGAAGAAGCGATTGCTGTGTTCAGAACGCATGTATTAAAGTTACCTCAAACAGAGTGGCAAAAGGGCTTCGAGAATTGGTTCAAACTCATGCAAAAGTGTATACATATTTATAGAGCATATTTTTAAAAACGATAAAGGGATTATCGATTATTAATATTTTTTTTATATGTATGTTATTGCGAAATATAAAGGCTACCCTCGTGTTTATGGTATATGGAAAACTTGGAATTTAGGGATATTTTTTTCTATGTATCTAGATAGATTTTAACATATAAATTCGATAGGTTAATTTTTTGGCTCATCCTAATGTTACACACTACAATTTGGCTTACAAACTCAGTGTGAATTCTATACCACGGCTAAGTATCAAATTAAATTTTAGGAAGTTTTGTAGTTAGCGTTTGCCAATGGTATACATAAAAGTAGCATATTACATACACATTATTAATATAATATATACTCATACGTATAATTAAGCTTTAAATTGCAAACAAATAAGGCTTAGAAATTTGTGGAAATTAGAGTACCGAAATAAAGCCTATAATTTTGTGGTTTTATTTTTATGGCAAAGAGAAGAAAGATTATTTTATGGAAATTCAAGTATGATAATATATAATGATTCATCTCTGGCATTTATACGCTGAAACTTGATAAATTCATAAATTTCGAGTTACATATAATAAATTATAATTATATATAAAAATGTAAATACAGTTTTATTTATTTAAATAAAAAATTATGAAAAATCTAAAAAATATATTTTAATGAAATAACAATCGTAACATGTTGCAATAGAGACAATAATAGTTTTAATAGTGCACATGTGTATATAAAAGATCAGGATGACGAGAGAAGTTAAATTCGAGTGACTGTCAGTCCGTGTGTCCCTGCAAACGATAACTTGAGCAAAAAATGTGATATCTTGATGAAACTCGGCACATATTTCTAGGCGCCCAAGGAGGGTTAGTACTGCATATAGGCGAAATCGGACTATTGCCACGTCTAAAACATGCCATTAACTGAAAACCTATTAATTGAAAACCTATTAAGTGGTTTGAAAATCTTTAAAAAGTGGATATAGCTCCACCCTCTAATAAGTTTAATGTACATATCTCCCAAACCATTCAAGTTATAATAACCAAATTCGCTGAGGAAATATACAGGTTGCTTAAAAAGTTTCTGCTCTCACCAAGAAATAGCACCACTACCTATAATTTTTTTTTTCAATTTGGTATATCTGTACATTGTCAGAGTATTTTTTTAATATTGGAAACATGGAGTATCGCGCAGTGATTAGATAATCTGTTTTATCAAAAATTGTTAGAAGTGTATAAGGGGTTCTCACCTTCAAAATGCACCGTTGAGTCTTGGACTGGTCAGTTTAAACGTGGTCGTACTAGGCTTGAAGACGATCCATGCGAAGGACGATCAAAAACCGCAACCACACCAGAAATCATTGAGCAATCATTGGAGCGTTTTAAGTAGAATAAAACCGATTTCCTTCATCGTTTTATAACTATGGATGAGACCTGGATCTAAAACCATAATCCTACATTGAAACAAGAAGCTGGTTGTTGAGCTTCAAAGAAGATGTGGCGACCAGCGACTACTATCTTTTCAGAAACCTGAAACAATTCCTTCGAGGAAAGCGTTTTGCGTCTAATTAAGAAGTTATTACAGCCCTTTGGTATTTTGCAGAGCTTCCGGATAGTCATTATAGGTATGGCATAAAATTATTGGAGGATCTTTGGAATAAGTGTATTGAAGTTAAAGGGGATTATATTAAATAAAAACAAAAAAAAAAGTTAACTTCGGTTGCCCTCACAAATACAAAAGGTTCCTTCCAAGAACTTGATTCCGATCATTCAGCTTGTGTGACAGCAAAATGATTCCGATATAGTGAACCGATCTGAACAATTTCATCGGAGAATCCACTATTGCCTTAGATATTGATATTTTCCAAATTTCGTGAAGATATCTCGACAAATGAAAAAGTTTTCCATGCTATAGTGGTCCGATAACGGCCATTCCGACAAATGAGCAGCTTCTTGGTGAGAAACGGTTTACTGCTAAATTTAAGATTGATATCTAAAAAACTTAGAGACTACTTCACGTATATATAGACAGACAGACGGACATGGCTAAATCAAATGAGATCATCATGCTGATCATTTATGTATATATTTTGTAGGGTCTCCGAAGGGTCCTTCTGGGTGTTACAAACTTCGTGGCAAACTTACTATACTCAGTTCAGGCTTTAAATACATTTCGTACCAAAAACGGTATTTTTATATTTCAAGCGCAAAAACTTTTCAACCAATCTGTATATCCACAAATACACCCTTTATATATATATACGAATATTTAATGCACAACAATTCGCTATTTTTGCACATAGGTACGTACATACATATGTACTCTCTAGTGCAGAAATACCATAGCTCGCTTTACGGAAGCACATATAGTCAATTTAAGGTGCAATTGACCATTTAATAATTCAAATTATTGAATATATACACATTGACACACGTATATTCGTATAAACCAAACTATAATCAACCATATTCAATGCATAATAGCGGATATATCAACATGCAAACTTCCACTTTGCGTAAATTATCCTTTGTTTGAATGATTAGGGTAGTGTAATCCGGTATATGTATACTCTTGTGTGAGTACGAGAGTGTTTGTATATATGTGTGCACGAGAGTGTTTGTATTCAAAGCGTGTGCTGTAGAAAATCATTTAGAAAATTTTTAATTGATTGAATTCATAATAGATGACAAAGATTAATTTGGTCTGATGCCACCGCTGGCACCGCAACCGCCACCACCAATGAAGCCAATGCTCTCCTACCGCCGTTTCCATCTCCGCCTCTGCCGCCTTTGTTTGGCGCGCGAATAGCGAAATATTAAATTGCCATGCAACTGTCAAAAAGTGCGGGCGCGTTGGTCGGGGTGTCATCGCTTCAGTTTACCTTCGCATTTTCGCTTAGTTTGCCAGTCATTATGTGTGCTGCCCGGCAGGTGTTGGCGCCTCATGCATTTTCTAGGAACTATTCGCGGTTCGACGGCTTGCTGAGGTAGCCAATGCATGAACCGAACGTTTGTTAATTTGTTTACAATTTTCCGTGCAAATTACGCGCAACTTAATGCATTGCCAATATAGTTTTTTGTTTTCTGGTTCGCTGCTGGCGAATATTTATTTATTTATGGCTTAATGGGTGTGTGTCTGTGTTAGGCTTTTGTGTGGATTCTAGCTGTACGCTAACTAGTCTGTAATGTTTTGGTTAAGCCAAAGCTGGTTTATTGGCCAAAACTTTTGTAATTTGTAGAGACAACTACTCTTCTGCGCATATATAGATATTCATATATATACATATATATAAATATGTGTGTTTGTGTTATGCAATTTCTGACATATTAGCGATTAATTTGGCAAATTGATAAATGCTTAAAAAAAAAATACAAAATCGAAACGAGAAATGCAAACACGTTCGGCTTTTATAGCCCTCACAACTAATTAGCTCTTTTAATGTGCAATTTTGTAATTTTGCTACTCATTAAAAATTCATATTGAACAATCAATTAAGAAATACTCTTGTGTGTTTAATAAATTCTTTTTCTATTATACAGGAATTATTAATTTGCACCGTTTCATTAATCATTATTGTTTGAAAATTTCGGGTAATGAATGAATAAATAATATCAGTTGTTTTATACACTACTATATACACTATGTGCTTAAATTTTTAGTGTAATTTTTAAGAATTTTTTTACATCAAACAGAAATCTTTGAGAGAATAAGAGTTGAAGAAAAAATTTTGTTTGAAGCACTCTATAATAGCTACCAATTTATATATATATCTAGTATAATATTGTTAAAGGTTATTTATGTGCATTTTTATAGTATTGTATAAATAGTATAAAAGGTTATAAAAATACTTTTATCTTGATTTCGACCGACCAGCTTGTATGACAGCTATATGCTATAGTTGTTCGATTTGAACAATTTGCTTGGAGGTTATAGCTCTGTGTTGGATACTAACTTATGCCAAATTTCGAGAAGATACCTTGTCAAATAAAAAAAATCCTTACAAGGACTTGAGTTTGATAGGTCGGTTTGTATGACAGCTATATGCTATTGTTGTCCGATCTGAACAATTCGTACATAGATTGTAGCGTTGCCTTGAGTAATAATCTGTGTAAATGTAGGAGAATATATATTTTCAAGTAAACAAGTTTTCCATAGTAGATTTAGATTTTCTTCATTCAGTTTGTATGACAGCTATATGCTATAGTAAGCCGATATACACAGTTCCGACAAATGAGCAGCTTCTTGTGAAGAAAAGGACGTGTGAAAAATTTCAGATCAAAATTTTTAAAACTGGTATTCTTTTTTATCTATGTACGATTTTTTTGTTATTGGAACTTTATACAAACATTTTTGCTAATTTTTCATTCAGAAATTGAGTTTTTTTCATTCAATACTAAAATCGTAAATTTTTTATGAAGTGCTTATGTTAATTAAGATCTAAATTTTTATTTTGTCACAAAATGTCACGAATTCCTTAAATCACCGTCGCCTTCAGACGCCCTCTGGAAAAAGGTGATTACGAAGTTTGGCCCTGTAGCCATTATTATGTATAAAAATATTAGTATACATTTTTTTTTTTTACTTAAATGAAAAAACAAATTTACTAAAGCCTGAAAGAGAGAAATAAGATGCTTTTTTTCTTGCTCCTAAAAAAGTGGTCAATGTTAGACTGAGTCCTTTAAATAGAAAATCCTTCTTAATGGTTAATACTAGCTTTTACAGAAACATTTTTAAATCAAAACAAAGTTGAGAATTTGCTAGAAATTCCTAAAGAACCCCAATGCTTTTTGAAGTTTGTCTTAATTTTGCAGAAAACGGGTGGCTTTTTTTTGTGCGAAAAGTACGATACTCAACTGACAAAGTAATTTGTATCAAGCT